GCATGTGTGCATGTGTATTAGGGTTTTTAATTAAAATTTATAAATGGAAATAGCATATTTAGATAATTTTTAAGATATTCTGCAATTTCAATCAAAGTCTTGGCTATAAACACATTGCATTGCACCCAGAAGAAAATGAAAGTAGAAATTACTAGAAAAAAAAATAAAAATACCTATTCAGAGAGATTGGATTTCTCAGTATACACAATCCAACCATTTTGTAATTATACCTGCTAGAATATATTTTATGTTGGCTATTAACTTTAGTGGCATAGGTAGCAAACAAAGAAAAGACAACAGTTTGTTCTTGATTAAACTTTTATATAGAAATACAGTTTTTAAGAAATTCTGTTTCTTAAATAACATTTAAGAAAACAGAACTTGTATTTTGAAATTAAAGACTTTCAAGAAAGTTTTAGAAATATATTGAAGTTTAACCAGCTCTCTACTTATTAATCTTCACCAGTATGAGGATTAAGTGAAATGCAGTTATTTATTATGTGAACTATTTTAAATTGAAAAAGCTCAGTTCTTTAGTCTATACCTAATCTCTATTTTTTAAATCAAATGGCCAAAATATTGCCATTTGTTCACTCTCTCGCGCTCTCACTCTTTCTCTCTGTTTTTTCCTCCTATTTTTCTCCCTCCTTCCTTTCCTCCTGGCTTTCTTTGTTAATACAGCACGAGTTTATTTCTATTGTTTTTTTTTAAAAAAGGAACCATGTTTCCTACAGATGAATTTCATCTTTAAAGAAAAGAGAATATACTCTAGTCATGTTGGGTATAGCAAACTAAACTCACATTCCACATAACATTGTTTGTTTGAATAAAAGACTTGGTTCTAGAAAATTTAATCTCAACAAGACTGTCTAAAGCTTAAAGTTGCACAGGAAAAAGCTTATAGCTACTCCTGGAGAATTCTGTAGTTACCTATGTGTCATAAATTAAGGAAAAAGATAAAATTAAGACATGAAACTTCATAGTAGTAAGAATGTCCCTGTAATTTGCTTAGGCATTTGATATTCAGGGGTGTGTTTGAGCCTGATAGTCCCTAATTATATTAGAAATGATTTAGTTTTTTTCTCTTTCCTATATTTTTACACTAAGTATGTATTCCTCACACCTATGAATGGCCTAACATTGATCTAAAAATAAAAAAACAAAAATTAAAAATATAATGTAAAATATTGTATATGTACTAAATGTAACTATACTGATTACCAGATTGAACTTTCATTATTCTTCAGTTTCTTTAATTTTTTACTCTGAAAGACAAATTTGAAGCCAAATTGTATAAATAGCAATCTGTTATCAATATTTTTATCAATTTATTGTTATCAATATTTTATCAATCAAGTAAACTATAAATAAAATATTAAAAACTATGCTGTAACTAAATTCAAATAATTCAAATATATAAACACATTAATAGACCCATTACTCAGAATGTATTTTGATTTGTACAAAAGCAGTCATCAGAGAATTAATTTTTTAAATGTACATAATTCAAAATCAATAACAAAGGAAAAGTTAAGCAATGACTAAATAAGTATAAATATAAATTATTACTGTATATTTTACCTAATTTTCTAAAATATAACAAAGTTTATACTGTATGTGAATCCTATAAATATCATATATATTTCATTTTTTAAAAACACACAACCTAGTTCAACAAAGGCACATGTCTTTATGTCCTACTTGACAAAAAACTTGGGAGAGTTTCTTGGTTTTGTAGCTTCCAGAAATTATGAGGGAACTGAAACTTTATCATCCCCCTATTAAATAAACAAAACAAAAGGAAACAGAAAACTAAACAAAGTATTTAAAGTAATTGTTTTCAGATATTGAAAATCAAGCAGGAAATTGTGATGCCTGAGAGAAGGAAAGGGAACAAGATGGCTCCATGTTGTCCTTAGCTTCCTGCCTGAAGGTATCTTCTGGACCATTATGAACAGTGAAGGGAAACGCAACCTTAGTAGACCACCACTGTCTTACTGAATTAAGCAAACAAGATCAGAAGTCATGGAGGCTCTGCTGCCACAATTTGCAATACAGACAATAAGAGAAGATATGACCAAGAAAAATTCAAAAATCTTCATGGTGTCCCCTCGAGTTTGTTGGTAAATACTAAAGGCACAAGTGCATGAGGTGAAAGTCCCCAAAGTCTGCAAAGAGTATCACAAGTAGAGTAAGCTGAGCAATTTCCAGAGCTCACCTGAGTGTGAGAAATACTCAGATTCAAACCAGCAGTATGGAAACGTGATTGAATATCCAGAGTATTCAGTGGAATATCAGGAAAATAATAACATGTACTAGGGTTAATGTAGTCCTTTGAAAAGCTTAAAAAGCAAACATCAACCAGTATAACTCAATGTACAAATGACTCAGCCACTTGCAAGAACAATGTCTAATGTCCGATGATTTTTTTGGATGAGACACAACAAGCATGGGAAACAAAAACAAATTAAAAAATAATCTGTTGGGATTTCATCAAACTAACAAAACTTATGCACAGCAAAGAAAACAATTGACAGAGCAAAGGAAACAATCTAAAGAATGACAGAAAATATTTACAAACTATACTTCTGATGAGTTAATATCTAAAATATATAATGAGTCAAAAAAGAAAACCTCAATACCAACAACAGCAACAAGAAGCAATAAACAAGGGGACATTTCTCAAAAGAAGACAGACAAATGGCTAACAGGTACAAGGCAAAATGCTCAGCACCACTAATCATCAGAGAAACAAAAATCAAATCTACAATGAACTATCACCTCAGTAAGAATGACTGTTATCAAAAAAGATTTTTTAAAAGACAAATGCTGGTAAGGATGTTGTGAAAGGAAAACCCTTGTGCACTGCTGGTGGGTGTAAATTAAGTACAGCACTATGAAAACTAGGACAGAGATATCTGCACCCTCATGTTCATTGCAGCATTATTTATAATAATGGAGAGAAAAAGAAATGGAAATGGAAACAACCTAAGTGTCCATTAATGAATAAATAGAAAATGTGACATATATATATATATATATATATATATATATATATATATATATATACCATTCAGCCATACAAAAGAATGAAACGGCACTATGACAGTATAAATGGAATGGGAGATCATTACATTAAGTGAAATAAGCCAGCCACAAGACAAGTACCACACAGTCTCGCTTACATGTGAAATAGAACAAGTTGAAATTGAGAGTGGCATGTTGTTTATAAGGCTAGAAAGAGAGAATACAAGGGAGGGAGAAATGGAAAAGATTGTAATGAATACTAAGCTATGAATAGGAACAAGAAGGTCTGGCGTGCTATTGTACTTTAGAGTGGCTATCATGCACTATATTATCTCAAAAAAGCTAGAAGAAAGGAATTTGAATGTTTTCACCTTAAAGAAATGCTAAATGTTTGAGGAGATAGAGATATTTAACTTGATTGAAATAGTGCAATGCATACCCATATAAAAACATCATATAGCATCCTATAAATATGTATGGGTTTTATATTTTTACATATCAAATAAAGTAAATGAGTTTAAATTAAATTTTAAAAAACAATATTTAACATTTTTGGAGACAAAAAGGCAGCCTGGAACTATATTAATTTTATAGTAACCAGCATCCTTTAAAAATCAGTGGATAAGAAACAGGATAATATAGTACATAAGCAGGAGAAAAATCAAATAATAGGAAACTGGAACAAACTAGAAAATGATAGAATTAAGAGATAATACCAAGTTCTTAAACAATTACGTTTGTGGAGTTCCCCAAAATGGGTGATGTATGTAGAAAAATACAGTTATCAGAAAATAACAGCTAAAACTTTTCTAAAATTGGTGAAACGATAAAATATAGATTTTTTAAATTGTGTCTTTATTAGTTTTTAAACATCATCAGGACAGAATTTCCTGAGACATGTATTTCAATTTTTCATTCAAGTACTCAACTACATACTTAGAATTTAGATTTTCCATCTCTTAAGGAAGTAGGAAATGCCTATTTACAACCTAAGCTAGTATTTGATTCATTTTGATACCAATATACAAATAAAACCAAAGTATTTATCAAAAGCTAAATAATAAGAATGTTTTCCTGAACTTTCTCATTCACAAAATAGGTGTTTCAGGTAAAATACCTGGCATTGATTATGTGCTCTCTAAGTCTATTTCCTGAGCATATGATAGGAATACTTTGAACACGTAACAGAACACATAAATATTTCTAATATTACACTTAGGATGAGTAAAATAATGAGTAAAATCTACTTCCCACTGAAGTCACAGAAACCAGTTTCTGGCAAATATTGTTAATTCTCTTCTTAATAAATTATTGATTTACTCAGATTAAAAACAGTTTAGACCTGCTGCCTCTTCCTTTGCAAAATAAAACCTAAACAGCTGATATATCAAGAGCTGATATACCAGAGAATTAATCTCTGCTACACATACCAACTCAGACTCAGCACAGAAGTTCTGAATTAGTCTGGATTCCCAGAGAAGCAGAATCAATAGATGTTGGATGGATGGATGAATAGATAGATAGATGATAGATAGATAGATAGATAGATAGATAGATAGATAGATAGATACATGTATACATACATATATACACATACATACATAGACAGATAGATAAATATAGAAATACAATGATTTATTATAAGAAATTGGCCTAGGCAGTAATGGAGAACTGATGATATTATTTAAGTCCAAAAACAAGAGAATACTTAATCCCAGCTCAGACACTCGGGCAGAGAGGGAATTCTCCCTTACTGCCCTTTTTGTTCTATTCAATCCTTAAGTGGATTGAATGGGGTCCACCAAAAATGGGGAGTTCAATCTGCCTTACCAGTCTACTAGTTCAAATATTAATTGCAACCAGAATAACCCTCACAGTTTCACCCAGAGTAATATTTAACCAAATCATATGAGCACCTTGTGGCCCAGTGAATTTGATATAAAATTAACTGTCAGGTCACCATAGTCTTAATCCCCTTAAATACCTCAAAAAGTAAATAAATAAAAATAAAAGAGTGCCAATTATTTCTCACAGACATTCTCTTACCTGAGACATACATGATAATCAAGCTTGATAATCAAAGGAGATAATCTGGAAAAGAAAGCAAATGCCCCCCAAAAAACATAATTTAACATAATTGAAATCTGGCCAAAATCTACATTTGGTAGAAGGCATTATTTGTAAAGTATATTTTTTTAAAAAAGCATAAGTTGAACGTAGTTGAATCAAATACTTCAATCTGTTTCATTGTTGTTGCTTGCCCCCACCTGTTTGGTACATTGCTTTTCTAGCACCTTAAATATACATCATTTCATCTCTTAGTACCTGATGGTTACCCAAAGATCTATATGCAGATTTTATGTCATGTGATTTTCTGTGTAGAATATACTGTTTCATTTTTAGAATAACTAGAAACTGAATACAAATATAAAAGGAAAAGAGAAAGTATACAAAGAGCTTATTTTAAATAATAAAGATTTAGCTCAAGAAGCACTAATGAGGTTATTCATACTATTGAATGCATAACAAAGGGTGTCATGGCAATTTTTCCATATAGATGAGGTACAGAAATGCATTCTTTATTCCTTTACAGAATTTAAATTGTACGCATTTTGTAAACCAGAGATGTCTTTCATGCAAAGAGAATTATGAAAATGAATTAGAATAAATCTTTAAATGTGCACAAATTAACACTCTAAGACAACTACATATTCCTTAAAACAATTGGGTATCCATTAGAAAATTCAAAGTATTCAAAATAAGTTTTAATTTATAATAGGTGTTCTACTTTAGAAGGTTGGATTTGAGGCGAAGAGGCACAGATAAGTTACAATTTAAAAATTGATATTTTAACCTCAATTCAAAAGGTGGCTTTTAACAATCCCTAAAATAAAATATATTTCAAGAAAAAGTATTTATGCTAACCCATGACATTACTTATTGCAAATAATAAAATGGGTCTTCTAAATGCATTTTATCTCTAGTTAATGCTCCTAGTCACAAGCTGATACTATACACAATCTGATTTTTTACTTTAATCTTAAATCAGTAATGAATTTGAATACTTTCCCTCTCTAGTTTTATCATGAAAATTATAAAATTTAAAGTCTTACTAGGTTAACTTCTTTTTTCTACCTGGCCCACATATTTGAACTAAGATAATCAAAATCTACATACTTGATATTCTAAGAAGATATACTATACTCAAATGCAGTGTCCCCTCATAACTTTGTTTTTTATCCAATCCAGCACTAATGTATGCAAGCATTTTTGGAAATGTTTCTGCAATTATCCAAAGACTATACTCGGGAACTGCCAGGTACCATATGCAGATGCTGAGAGTAAAAGAGTTCATTCGCTTTCACCAAATCCCCAATCCTCTACGGCAACGGCTTGAAGAATATTTCCAGCACGCATGGACTTACACCAATGGCATTGACATGAACATGGTATGTATTTGTTTCCCAAAACAGAAGCACCTCAGGTATTAGAGCTATAGCCAAAGTGAAAAGGCCGGTCTCACCAGCTTTGAACCCCTTGCTTTTGTTTTCCTCTCTCGGACGTTTATTTTCTTCCCTGGAGATAGTGTCTCATTCTCAATTCATGGCATTGCATGGTGCTATATCTAGTTATACTGTGTGGCAAAGGCATTATAACATGATGCAAACTGATATAACTGTGTGTAGTAGAGTTCCCACTTATGGTTAGGGAAAGTATTGCTTTAGCTAGGATTTGGACTTTCACTGTATGGTCTAGTTGCCAGCATCCAAAACAGTAGCTGGACCTATGGGTAATTAAAATTTGGCAAGTGAATTGTAACAATTTTGATGTCCCCAAACAGAAATCCAAAATTAATACATCTTAAAATACAGAAAATTTTGAAAATTGTAGGAGAGGACAGAGCGCTTATGTATTCTGTAAACATTTTCTGTTAGAGAGTTTCATGCTTCTTTTAACAATAGTTCTTCTGTATTTTAAACAATTAACTATGTGCCCTTTTAATCTGCTTGGTTTAATGAATGTTTCCTTTCAAGGAAGAAGTATGGATTCCTTCATACATTTTAAACAAATTTGACATCAACAATCACTTGGCATATCCTCACTTCCTGTATCATTGGTCAAAAACTTAAAACAATTAACATAAATATGGTCCAAATAATTTTTTATTATTTTTATTATTATTCTTTTACCTTGCCTTTTGACTTTAGAGATTGATTGCTACCAATAAATTATACAACAAGTTCAAGTTCAATGATATAGAGCCATAGAATAGGAAGAAAGGACTAATATATGACATCTTCACACCTGACTACTCCTCCTCTGGGAAAGAACCCTGTTTTTGATAATTCTTTAGAAAATAAAATCACTCAAATTTAATTACATCAATTACATAATACAATGTTTGTGCAAGCAAACCTGTAAAATTTCGATGGATTTTTTTTTGTCCCACCAGAAATATTCTAACATAAACACAAACAAAAAAAAGATTCAAAATTAGCAGTAATGGTGCAAGAAGCATAGCAAATATTGTCCAACTTGAAAGACACATTTATATAAGTTTTTCATAGCTGCATGTGATTTATTTGACTGAGAAATAAAGAAATATTATTACATTTCTTTGAAGAGCTAGTCAAATTAGTACATTTCAGACAAAACTGTTACTGAACTACATGAGTTAAGTCCAATGATCCCAAAGTTCTCTGTGAAAAAAAAAAATCACCTAATAAACTGATTTCCCCAAGGGGACTTTTTAATCTTGCAAGAAAGAGCAACTATATATTGGTTACTTTTACATATTCCATTAGTGTTATTATTTAACAAAAGTATCAGCATTAAAACCTATTGGGTAAGCTCTACTGCTGGGTTGGCTGAAGCAGTGTCAAGAGTTTTTAATCAGAAAAATGTGTCATCAATTTTATTGCTCCATACTGCCAGATTACTTCAAAAAAAAAGTAGTGCAACAATTATTTATTTTACTTTCCCTCTCCAGAAACTCTAGTTTTACAACCATTTTTGTGATAAAGTCTATTTTGTGACAACTATTTACCTTACATTGTTTGACTTTATTACCTATGAATATGGTTTATATACCACTTGCCTATTTACAATGTACTTATGAAAGATTTATCTCTTTCCTGTCTGCTTCACACCTTAATACATGGAATCACAACACCCACCGGTAAGAACAGGAGGTATTTATATCCAATTTAATTCTCGTGTAAATTCTTGTGGAGAACACCCTTGTTATCTGTTAGGCTTAGAGCTTGTTAAGTGATTTCCAATGTTAGTTCTGATCTTTTGCATGATGTAGCAGAGGAAATACAAATCAAGAAACTGGGAAAGATAACATGGAAGAGGCCAAGTACAGAAAAGAAGCTCTTAATCTTAATGACTACTTGACCTCCAATAATATTTATATACAGTTTCCCATTTACCACAAAAATCAACTTCTCTGCCCCAATTTCCACTCTGGTAAAGGTTATGGGTATACGGTTTGCATTAGATAACTGTCATGAAGAAAATGTCATTCTTTTTCATCGTCCTCTATTTTCACGATGTAGGTGCTTTTCTTTCCTCTCATCTGCATGCCAGTATTACATGATCCCGGAACGTGTGAGCTCTGAACCATGTGCCGCTGAATCTTGCATGTGGTTTTGAGAACTTGACTTGCACGAACTTCTTGTATGTACACAGTGTCTGCATTTCTCATTTTGTGACTGCAAAGTGAGTAAAAAACATTAAAGTGCAAGATAACTCTGAAAATTCAGCAAATGGAAGATGCTTGCTTTTTAAACATGATATGCAAAACAAAGTTGACTAGGGAAAAGCAATTGTATTCTTAGACTATTGAGAGGTAAAAGAAAAAAACTCAAAGTGGACTTTTTACCTCCAAAATCACATTGTTAAAATCCTTGTCTCAATTTATTGTTAACTAAATTGTAATTTAATAACAGTTGAAAACTATTTAAATTTATGTATTGTAGTACATAAAAATATATCAAACTGTTACATTTTACATCAGCATTCCATGTTATTTCATTTAAGTATAACCTTAAATATAATTTCTTATGAAACATTTCAAGTCATTTTTGCTATTCAACCATGTCCAAATGCAGTACAAGGTTTTCAATCACATTGTATTAATGAACTTAAAATTATTTTCATGACTAAAACATTTGATTGCTTGGTACACCACAAACCAGTAGAGGAGAATTGACCTAAAAAATGTGGTTATATTCCATATTTTCTTCATCTTTTATTTTTTGTGAAAACTATTGCCAGAATTTCCCAGAACTTAAAATATTCTGGAAACAATTATGGACTCCTTTTCGGTTGAATCAGAAAGGTTCAGATACAAAAAGGAAAGAGCCAACATAATGAAATAGTGATAAGAATACGTCCTTTACATTCTAATTTATGGTTTAGGATTGTAAATATTAACTCAAAGATGTTCACAGGTTAACTCTGGAAAATCCTTTTCTTTCTACGTGCAGAAATTTTGCTAAGAATGAGAATATCCTTTCTCACATTAGGGTTGATGTCATCTCAAGTAATTTCCACAATGAAAGCCTTCTTCTGACACAGTCTGAAACTCTCTGAGCTTATCCAACATTGTTTTAGTTATAAAATTACCTAATGCAAGTCATCCTCCATGCCAGGGTAGAACTAAGTGTCACTACATCACACACAAGAGCCTAGTTTAAATGAAGAACAGCCCTGATGCTCTGTGTATCCTTCTGGATGTAGAGAAGTAAGCCATTTCAGACAGAACCCACTTTATAGCTTGATATTAAACTAGCATGGAGGAAAGGCCTTTACAAACATTTGATGGGGAATTTATTCCTTCCCTAAAAATGCTGTCCTTTCACACACCCAGGTAATCCCTGAATAATAAAAATACAGGATAGGGATTCCAAAGACCCAACAACTAACTCTCAATCTGCCACTACTCTTGGACAAGTCACTTAACCTCTGCAGTTTCATTAAACTCACCATTTTCAAGTATCTTTAAAGCACCAGTACTCAAATATATGAAATGTATAAATTACGAAAGCTCTCATGCCTGAGGATGGCAACTCAACTCTATCTGCTGCCCACCTGCTGGCCTGTAGTGAACATCTGAATCTCCCATATAAAACATCTAGTTCTGGATAGGGGTGACTCCAAAATTACTGGACTAGGTGGGTGGAGAAATGCTGATGGCAAAAAACCAGAGGCCATTTCAGGTAAAAACAAGGACAAGAGTCCTCGGAGCACTAGTATAAGGCAGAATTAGGTAATCCAGAAATACCTTTGTTTCATTTATTTTAGGAAGAAAGTAGAGTAACTGAGTGTTTTCTAGATGGGAACATTCATGGAGAAAATTCTGAGAGGCAGACATAGAAAGGATATGGAGTAAGGGCTTTGGAAGGGGAATGGTTCCTCAGCAAGGTAGTGAGATAAGCTTTTCTTGAAGATAGGTAGGGAAAAAAGAGAGAAGGTGAGGATGTTGGCTGTGAGGCATAAGAGAGGAATTCAACAGTACTTGTACTGCATGTTCCAGTCTCCCAGGTCAAGCAAAGACTAAACTCTTCAAAAGCAGAAAATGCAGGACAGGACTTGAGCTGAAACAGGGGAGGATTTTTGGAGATTTCAACTAAGAATCAGGCTAATACCCTAAAAATACTTAGAATTACGGTAAATTCAGTGACATACCATGCATTTGTCATAGACCAAACAAATCAAACCAATCAAACTGGCAAAGAGAATAAGAAATGAAATATTGCTTAATAGAAATCTTCATTTCTTGGAACTGATATGATTTCTAAGAAGCATTTTGATAAAATCTGATTTCCTTTACTTTCACAACTCTTCTAGTTTCTGTTGTTTGTCAGTGTACCTGCCACTGTGAGCACCAACCTCCTGTCTGCATCCAGTCTCTCCTGAATCTAAAACTGTTAATAACCATTCCCTATACTGAATAACTTCATTTTAAGGTCACAGTGCCTTGATACACCAGAATTAAATATAATAGTGTAAGCTTGAACTTTTATTCATTTCAGCAACTCAGAAAAAACGATCCTTTTAACACTAAACCCCATCACTAATATAAAGGCAAAACATAAAATAGCATTATTTGCTTTCAAATATATTGTTTTTATCTATTTTACCTTTTTCTAAAGATCTACACTGAAGTCTATAAATATAGTAAATGAAAAGAGCTTAACTGTATCATGGAACTAAAATAACATTACTGAAGAGGATACCTTCAGTAAGTCAAGGTGTTGCATTCTTGTAATCCCAGCTACTTGGGAGGCTGAGGCAGGAGGATTGGAAATTTAAGGCCAGCCTGGGAAAATTAGCAAGAACCTATCTCAAAAAACAAAAAGGGCTGGTGATGTAGCTCAGTGGCCCCTAGGTTCAATCCCAGCCCCAAACAGTGCCCTCAAATCTAACTAGTCCTCCACAT